TACAAATATTGTGAATCATCACATGTAGCCCAAAGTGTGATTTCAGCATACAGCATTTATAGAGATTCAACCATGTTGGTGGGTAGTCTTAAAGGAAACCAGGAAGACCAGGTTGCCAGTACATACACCTGCTCAAGTAAATGTGTCGCCTACATGAAAATAACAGGTCATGACACCAAATTTATTTATAATTAATATACTTAGAGTTTTTGCGATAGGGTAAGTTAAAAACACCACAAAAAGTATGTAAAGTACCTAAGGAATCCTCCATGTTGCTATCTTAAGAAACGCAGATGTATGGTAATTAGAAACAAACTTTCCTGCTAATTTAACTAATTGATTACTTCATATTTCAGTTGCATTTACTTACCTTAAAAATATTTTTTTAGGGCCTCCCGGGTTGTGTAGGGGTTAAAAGTTTCAGCACTCTGACCACTCAGCTTGAGTTCAATCCCCAGCCAGGGAGCTAACCCACATGGTGTAGCAGACCTCTCCTGTCTCACCCGCTGCTCCCCTCGGCAGTGTATTTCAGTAGATCTTCCTGTTCTGCTCCCCACTCTGTCTCTGGTGAATCCTCTCACCCTCCACACCTCTGCCTACACCCCAGTTCTTCTATGCATAAACACATCTTTAAAAAAAAATACCTTCTTAAAGGATATTCTAGTATTCACCAACAGATTACATTTGATGAAACTACAGTAAACATAATTTTCTTTTTTATTCTGAGTCTTTATCTTGGCTCAGTCATCCAAAGGTAACCATTGTTTACTCTGGTATATTTCTTTTTGATACATCATGTTTATTGGTGTGTCTAAAAACACCATACTTGATGCTTCAGAGTATTCTCTCAAGCAATAACATCCATTTCCCCATTGGACATTTAGACAATTTAGAAGAACTGTTTTCAACTATGTGTTTTGTTTTGTTTTTTTAAGATTTATTTATGCATACAAGAACTGGGGTACAGGCCAGAGGTGCAGGGGGTGAGAGGATTCACCAGAGACAGAGTGGGGAACAGAACAGGCAGACTGAAGTACACTGCTGAGGGGAGCAGCGGGCAAGTCAGGAGAGGTCTGCTGCGCCATGTGGGCAGTTCCCTGGCCGGGAATTGAACTCATGCTGCAGTGGCTGAGAATTGCTTCATAGTGCTGCAACTTAACCCCTTGTGCCACTAGTAAGCACTTCAACTATGTTTTTAAAGGACGCTTTTTTCCATTATATTAAATATAAATGTACGTGAATGAATTCACTCTTTGTAATTCCATCAGCACTGGAAATAAGGCACTGTAGGCAAAGAAAGCCAGCCAAAACCCACCAGAGCAATCTCCCAGGAATGTCAAGTCTAGTGGAAAGGGATTTTGTGGAGCCCAAATGTCTTCCAGTGAAGTGGGAAAATTTAGCAGAGAAGCGGGGATAGTGGGGGGTGTGGGTAGGCTACATGTGTACATTTGGGGCATGGGGAGAGAAAGGGAGGAAATAATAAGCATTAAATTTCCAAAGCCTTGATGACGATGGTCTTACAAGTAGAATAGTTCTGAGTCGTTTTCTTTTTTATAGTGCTCAATAAATAGAGCCTTTATGCCACAAGGAAAGACAAAATGTTAACATTTATAGCAAAAATGTAAGAAGCTTGAGGAAATTATGTGCTGTAAAGCAAATCAAAATGACAAAGACAAATATTGTATGTTTACATAAGAAGACTATTCGACAAAGCCAAATACTTATTATAAAAACTAGTGGAAACTAACTGAAATTTCTGAGGGTAAGGGGTTGGGGCGGAAGGGGTGTGGTAGGAGAAGAAAGGGTAAAAATGAAGAAAGGCAGTCAATAAATCATCAATTTAAGAGCACTAAGATTAAACCTTCTATTTTAAGGTTTTTGTTTTTTTTTAACTAGTAGAATTCTATTCTTGCTTTCTCTTAATTATACCAAGTTGATAAACAAGGATCTTTTTGAAGCAAAGCAAATTTTAAATTTCTAGATCTAATCATTAAGAGAAGTTAAGAGCTATCTCTTATGCATGTAAGTACAAAAATCTACCTAGTAAAATATTACATGCATTTCCAATTTTTAAGATAATGCTTAAATTCTCATATCCCAAAACATCTAGTATCAATCTAACATTATCTTACCAAAAAAAAAAAAAAAAATTCTTAAATCTGTATCATAAAGCTCCGATTCACTTTAGTGCTTTCAGGAAATTTATGCAAAAGACAGGGAGCAAAAAATGTTTTAGGTGTCGGCCTCCCCGGTGGCGCAGCGGTTGAGCGCTGGGTTGCGAAGCTGCCCGCAGACTCTGTGGCGCCGGTTCGATCCCCGGCTGCTCCCCAGCCACCGGAGGAGGGTCCCACATGGCGCACAGACCTCTCCTGCCGCCCGCTGCTCCCCTCAGCAGTGTACTTCGGTCCTTCTGCCTGCTCTGCTCCCCGCTCTGGCTCTGGTGAATTCTCTCACCCTCCCGCTCTTCTGACTGTACCCAGTGCTTGTATAAATAAATAAAAATAAATCTTTTAAAAATAAATAAATAATTTTAAAAAATGTTTTAGGTGGAGGGGGAAATGTGTGCCAGGGCTCTGAGGCAGAAAACAATTTGTTCAGATGGCCACTGTTGTTGTGCTGTAGTGAGCTACGGAGGAAAATGGATTGGAAAACTTAACTGGCCAAATCATGCAGACTTTGGGAATTTATTGAAAAGAGTTAAACAAGGACTGGAATCCCACTTACGTTTTTTTAAGGTGACAGTGCTAGATTGGCAGAGATGCAAGAGTGAAAGCAGGGAGATAAATAAGGAAGCCATCACTGACATCTCAATGAGAGACGGTGGTAGCTCAAGCACTGGGAATCAGTGTTCTGGTTTTAAATGATACCTCAAATTAAAAGATGAACATGAGTCAACCAAGAAGGGCACTGCAGACCACTGGAAACATGTTCTGTGGCACAATGTCCTAAGACTATATTCCATTCTGACCAGTTATTAGAAACCTATGCAGTAATCCAAGCAAGTATAGTGCCCGGAACTAAATCACTGGCAGTGGGGAGAAAGGCAGGACTGTATCTAAGCGGCATGGTGACACAAGAGACTAGCTTGATTAGAAGAGGGGAGATGGGGAAAAAAAAAAAGAGGGGGGAGGTGAGAAGAAAGAGGAACTTAGAATAACTAGGTTTTCTGGTCAAGAGTGGGTAGATTATGGTGCCGTGCCGGTCATACAAATATGGGAATCTGGGATGGGGGAAGGATGAGTTCAGGTGTGTATATGCTGCCATATAGTAGGCAGCTGACTTCCTCGTAAGTTTGTAGCGTACAAGGGAGCAGAAGCTGGACTTGTAGATTTAGAAGTCACAGGGGAACAAGTGATAGGAAAGGCTGATTGCCGAGCTAATTACAAAATAACTTAGACCAGAACCTTGAAATACACTAACATGCTGAGCAGGCAACAGTTAGAGCAGAGCTTCACCATCATGCTTATGTTCTAAAATGGGTGATTCTATTATTAAACACTGTCTAGCGGCCTCCCTGGTGACGCAAGGGGTTAAGCACCGCACTATGAAGCAATCCATAGCCTCTGCAGCATGAGTTCAATCCCCGGCCGGCCAGGGAGCAACCCACTTGGCGAGGCAGACCTCTCCTGTCTCCCCCTCTGCTCCCCTCAGCAGTGTACTTCAGCCAGTCTGCCTGTTCTGTTCCCTGCTCTGTCTCTGGTGAATCCTCTCACCACCACCACCTGCATCTGGGGCCTGTACCCCAGCTCTTGTATGCATAAATAAAATAAATCTTTAAAAAAAAAAAAAAAACACTGTCTAGCACGTTGTAGGATGTTTAGCAGCATCCCTGGACTCTACCCACTAGACTCCCAGTAGGACACCCAGTTGTGACTATCAAATACACCTCCACACACTGTCAGATGTCTCCTTCAGGGAGGGGGAAATCACCTCCAGTTGAGAAGCACTGAGGTAAAGATGAGTTTCCAGAACACTTACAAAATATTCTAAATGAGCTCCTTAATAAGATTCCTAAGAATTTTTTCTATGCATTGTACTGCTTTTTGCCCTTGAAAGTACCAAAAAAAAAAAAAAAAATGCAAGTGACATTCCACTATATCCCACAAGGCAATGGAGCATTTTTATGCACTAGTTTGGATTAAGTCCATTGCTAGAAATTCTACTTTGGGTTTGAAGTTACAGAGGTAAAGTTTGTATTCAGAAATGACACACACAAAAAAATTGTGATTCTGCCCCCCCAATATAGGATTACCATTCTACTTCTTCCATCCATTCTACTTCTCCATGAGAATACCTAACATTTTCCAAGAGTTTGTGATTCTCTTACCATGTCATTCAATCCTCAGGAGTAAGAACTATTATCTCATTAGTCAGAAAAAACTGACAGAGGGATTAAGTAACATACCCAGGATCACATTGATCGAACTGAAATTGGAACCTGACTTTAAGAGCCTCACTCCAAAGCCCACACTCTAAGCTAAACCACTTAACCACTTTTCTGGATGGCCTCAATCAGGCTACACATTCTGTGTGGAAGGCACTGGCTCAACCTTCTCACCATTATATTTCTACCATTTGGCTCATTTTTTTTATTTTAAATTATTTTATATAATTCTTACATCATTTTTCATTTTTGCACAATGTATGCATTTCCATTTAGGTTAGCTCAGATTTACTTAAAGTCTCAATTCAGACTTCTCTAACTTATCCCAGATCTGCATCGAGGTGTTTAACACACTTGGAACTTGCAGATGACAAGTTAGGGCACCAATAGGAAACATTCTGACAGGAAATGAGCAGTGTTTGACACTGCATTGTTCCCAGAAATGAAGGCTCTACCGTCAACCCTGCTTCACTCCATTAAAGCAAAGCTACCTTCTCCTCCCTGCCTCCTTAATCATCATATCCTAGTTTAAATTGAGGATGGAGATGAAGTGCTTGCAAGATTATCCAATTTGTAAATATTTTATAAGATCATAAAGTGATACTTTTATATATATATACATTCTCTACCCTCTATTCAAAAATGCTTTAGAAAGTTGAATCGGTGCCACCTACTGGCACTCCCTCAGCATAGTTTTCCTTATTAGCCAGCCTTGGTACCTTATTGATAAAGGGATATGCCCAGAAATTTCTGTGCAGATGTTACGAACTTCCCTATAAAGGATAACATGGCTAAGCTGCTGGTGCCAAAAACTATACTAGACATTGTCTATTGATTTTATGTTTCTGGACTCAGATGTAGCCTCACAATATTTTCAATTTTATATGTCAAGGAGCCAGCATCCCAAGAAAGAAAATATTTTGCCATCCCTACCTAAAGCCACCGCCTAGTAATCTCTAAAGGGGTCTGACTAGAGGAAATATATTGTAAAAGTCTGCAAACAGAAGGAAATCCATGTAGATTTCTACTCTTTGCACACATTTGCACATCTAAATGTACTCAGACGCCATGGAAGCGATCAAGAAATTTGAGAGTTGAGAATGTTCCCAACTCTGCATGGAAGCCACTTCAAAGAAAGCATTCCATGTAAATAAAGCTTTTACTTTATGGACCTCACAGGCTCCCAGCCCCCCATCGCGTTACCATTTTCACCTAAGGCTCCTAGGAAAAGCTTGCTATATCAATAGCACATTTTCAGCCAATTCTAATGTGATCTTGGACTTTCAAGAAACAGAAAATGTTTTCTGATCATCTCCAGAGTGGCTTGTTTATAGATGCCATTTAGCAGCTGACAGCACTTTTGGAAGCTGGTCTTTAGTCTCTGATTTGCCATGGTGACTTTAAAAAGTTTTGTTTGGAAAGAAAACAACTCACTTTTGCTTTGTTCTTGCAGCTCCTTTGAAGATTATGAAACAGAGGAATCTTCACCTCTCTCTGAATTTGGAAACAAAGGCAATAAAATAGTAACCTCAAGTCTTTCAGAGAAATGTGGAAAGCTACAGTCAGTGGATGAAGAGTAGCTGCCACCGTCTACATAAAAGGGAGACATGTCGTTTCAATGTTTTTCTTGTGAAGAGATGCTCTAGTTTGCTTTTCAAAGGCTTTGATTTTGCCAAGTGTGTATCTGCACTAGTAACTTTAAAATGTTTTTAAATGGGCTCGGATACCCTCACAGTTTGGGAAACTCCTCCAATTCGCCTGAGACCTTTTACAGAGCTTTTCCTCTGAAGCAAATATGACATACATTACCTACCAAAGGCTGCAAAAGTATCCGCACTCTTCGCTCCTGAATGTACCAAGGATCTCACGGACAGCACCAAGCACACTTCTCTGCACAAAAGCAGGAGTTGCCTCTGTTGTCCAGCATCCCTGAGGCCCCTCAAGGCTCCTATGGAGCCTGGAAGAAATATTCACTTGCAGAAAATTTGATTAAAAAATTCTGGAACTTGAAAAATTAAGGGCCTCCAGAACTGACAGCCCTGGTAATAAAAGCACTGCCAAAACATCTCAGAGACTTAATTATATGTGTACTGGAGTTCAAAGATCTTGAACTTACTTGGTTTAATGTAATTTCACAATGACCTGCCGAACTGCTAGTCACTTTACATCCTCAGGTATTATAACCACTGGGCCTTCCAATCTTGCTGGCAAGCTCTGAATAATCCCTCCTCCCCATCCTGACTGTGGATCTCATATAAAACCTGGAGAAAGAACTTTTTTAAAATGAAGACAAGTACAGAGTTTTACTTGTACTTGGGGAGGAATGTCCTTTTAACTCATTTAACATCTGTAGAGAACCATTGCATGATTTATTAATCTCCAAATTAGTTGATGTCCCATCCACAATTCCTATCAGAAGAGGCCTACTTGAAGACTGACTTACATGATACATGAAAATTCCTACTACATACTAAACATATTCCTTCATGTTGAAAAGAAACTATTAATACTCCATCCACCTCAACATTTCTCACAAAAATGAAAGATAATTGCCACCCATAAAAGCAAGCTGTTTTGTGTTTACTATAGTGGTTGGCTTGTTCGTTGCAGAATTCTGTATTTTTTAGCAAGACACAAGGCAGCCAATTCCTGCAATTTCCTTGAAGATCAAATTGGATATGCACTAACCAAAAAAAATGAAAATTTCTGGTAGTGTAAGAATTTCCTCTCCCCTCCTTCCCCCCAGAAATATTTTAACATGTATCTCTGTCAAAGTCAACTTTTCCCTGGATTTTTTTTTTTTAAACCACAAATCCTGAATGTCAGAATAGCTTCCCATCCAACCCCACCTTGGTTCCCTTGCTGACGTGAAGGCCATACACTGAAATAATCAAGGAGAATTTAGGAAATGCACCATCAATTGGTAGAGTAACAGAATTAGCAAACTTTTGTCAATAGCTTCAGTTTCCTGTTATTTTACCTTCATGATAGGAACTGATCCTCCATTTAACTGTTTACAGAAAGTGATTACCATAAAACTTAGTATCTAATGTTCACAAAGAACTAAAAGTTTAACAATGACAATGCTTAGGAAACATTACGTGCAATAACCTAAACACACTGGTAAATTATCAGGATTAAAAGTATTTACGTGATATATGAAATCTTCTATCTGTACCATACAGCCTTTACCAGGGAGATTAGCAATTATTTTCTTAATTGCAGATAAAAATGCTAACAAGATAGTAATTTTTTTAAGACAGATATGATTTAAAGGTTTGATCATAATGCTCTAAGACTCAGCAAAAAGTACAGATAAAATTCAATTTTCCAACATACCTTTTAAAAAAAAATTGGTTTTACCTTGTTTTCAAAGTCATCTTTCACTTTCTCAATATTTGGGTTCAAAAATCTTATAAAAGTATAGCTACTAATTAGTCAATCCATTTAAGGTAAGGCTATTCTAATCTAGGTGACCCCAAAGTTATCATATTTTCAGACATAAGAATGTGTTTCACTGTAGAGATGAATGCAAGAAATGTGAATTCTAAGGAACTAGGATAGTATATATTCAACTTTCTGGTAAGATCATGCTGAATATAATTATTCTGCCCAACTGGAAATTCATGTTATTAGGGTATCCCAGGCTCCTTGATTAAAGGGTTATCGTGCATGACCTTAATGCAATTCAATGGAAAATGAGTTTCATAGCATAACTGCCAAGTTAAACTAATAAAATTCTGTGTATTTTCTCTGCATCTTATCTATGTCACTGTGTACTGTTCAAAGTGTTGATGAAACTCTAAATTGAAATGAGGTAAGTCATTTGCTCAACTTTTGCAAATGTTAGTGTGTTTGGGTGGCAAAAACCTGCATGATTTAATTTTGTTTTTCCTTTTTTTGCAAAACTAAATAAAGACAAGTTGTCAAATATCAATTATGTTCAAAGATGATCACTACATGATTTTGCTTTTAACTACACTCCATTTTTATGTTTAAGAGTAACACTGTAAGCAAGCTTGAGTTTCAAAAAGGTAACTCTCTTGACTCCCTGGGAAAACTATAAAGAGAGATATAATACCTAAAACTGATAAATGATTTCTTCTGGAAATGAGAAGGACCAGATTTGTGAGTGAGGGGTCTGCAGAAATCAAGAGACTTTAGCTTTATAATGTATTCTATTAAAAGAATGTAACTGTTATCTGAATACCTAAAATTTTGTTTTTGAAGAGAAGTTAAAGTACCATCCAAGTATTAGATTCCAATACTATACTTAGTATTTCCTAAATCATTTTATATTGTTACACCTATAATATGAGAAAGGAACTTTTTTTTCCTATTATGTAAAACTTTTTTCAGCAAGGTCACCATAATGTTATTTTTAGAAAACTAAGAACATCATGAAATAAAAAGACTTCTTTATCCTGTGACCATACTAGACCCCTCTGCATGAAAAGCTAACCAAAAAAGGCTAAGTTGTCAGGTCTGAAAAAAAGATCATTTATGTCAATAACAAGGATTCAAAAGAACAATGAAGATGTGTCATTAAAAGCTGTTATTTTAGTGGTTTCAAATACTGAAGGAAATGCAGTTACTTCAGTAATAATTTCTCAATCATCCCTAGTTAGCCACTGGTCAGCATTCCTAAATAACTCACAGTATACAGGAAAACAATGTAAAAAAAAAAAAAAAAAAGGCACTGTAATTACTCTTCCCCAAATATATGTAATGAAGGCCATTCAGAGCATGCTATCCCAAATTCCTCAGTATTCTACAACATAGAATTAGAAAACTAACATTTATTGATAGATTTAAGGTGTAATACAGGTTTTCAAAAGTGTGGCAGTGAGAATTACCAGCATAAAAAAGAGAAACTTGTGCTAAAAACAACCTGAATTCATCATTGGCAATATTACATGATAATCAAGGCCCTCACATACTAATGATTTTCATTTTGTCTATATTGCCAACCTCCCATGCATCAAAAACACAAAACTAAGATTATCAAATTGGGAAGCAATAAGGTACTCCATGAATTTAAGAGCAAAGTATCAGGAAAATTTGGAAGATTTGCAAAATATATCCTCATCAATGTGTACATCTCATTTCTAGTCATTTTTGCAGTGATCATAAGTGAATAAAGAACAGGTTTACAAGTTTATATATAGCAGGGCATCTGGGTTCAACACAAAACTATTACAAACTTTAGGCAAATACATGTTTCATAAGACAATGCTAATACTAGAATTCAATAAAATTCCAAAACTTGGAAAGCAAATAAAGACAAGACAACTAAGAAGCATTTTCCACCATTTACTCTTGTTATCAAAAATAGTTCAACTCTTCTTGCAAAACAAAAACAAAATAGTACATACTGGACACATACATCACATTTTGCTTCCTATGGCTTTAGCCCACCCCCACCCCACCAAGAGACAAAAAAAAAAAAAAAACAAACAAAAAAAAAAAAAAAAAAAGGCCCAACAACAACAACAAAAACAACTCTACCTGACCACATTCACAGAAAATGACACCAGGGTACACTACAAAACAGAAGGAGGTGTCATCTGCTCTGTGTCCAAAGGTTTCTTCTCCATGTCTTGTACTAGGCGAGTAACCATCATTGAACATGCTGTGTGCCAAATCAAAACATAACATGTGAGATCTCATGAGAGATGGTGAACGTAGTAGAAATTGTAAATTTTCCAGCAGTATTTTTCTTTAAGCACTGTCAAAGCAGCAACTCTTCTTTTAAGTCGTAAGGTCATTTCTTTACAACCTAGTCAGTCCTTGTTTTATTTGGGCTGTGCTCTTCCAAGCAACTGACCAGATTTCCCTTCAACAGAATGTTTGTGACTCACTTGTCTTCCCTAAAAAAATTAAAGGGAAGTTCATTTAAACTGAAACAGTTTGTGCTTTACATGCAAAAGAGCATTCTAAAGAAAATCCTCCTAGTTTCAAATCTATCTAATGCACAGGCTTCATAAAAAGATTATTATTAGGCCCCTATAAAGAAGCCTTCATAACAAATAGCACCCTAGGAAAAAATAGGATAAAGTCAGTGGCAAACTATTAGAGGAAACAACGAACAAAAAATCAAAGTGGCCAATGGCAATAAGTATAATGCATAAATGTGAATATGTTTGGGGGCATTATTCCAAAATTATTTTAAATAAATCCCAATTTTTAAAAAAAATATATAATTTGTTAAAAAATTGTCATATTCTATAGTCTAAATTCAATTACCTTCAGGATAAAACTGCTCTTCACTTACCTAATTAGAACATTGCTCAAAGTGAAAGAAGGTATTTTCCCTAGAAATGAGTCAGACAACTGAAAAAGACTCAAGTTTCTTAGCATAAACAGCTAACATTTGCAGTCTGACAGATTTTCAGTTTACTTTTAAAAGATATTTCTTCAACATTCTAATGAGGGGCAAATTTTCTTTCATAATACTGCTGATTTAAGAACTGCTACATACACCAGTAGCCAATTTTCATGATCAGAAATGGTATGTCAGCACAAAGGTTGAGCTGGACACATCAGCTTTTCAACAGGAGAAACATCAATGGCATCTGAAAGCAGCACTGAGTCTCCTGAACAAACTAATGGCTACTTTTTCACAAGAAATTAGCACAATCTTTATGGACTGACTAGATACCACTTCCTTACACTTAATCATAAACTTTGATTATGCACAAAGCATGACCATAAACAATGAGGTTAATGTTATTCTCCTTGCCAAAGTTCATTGTGTATAAATCAGTTGCATCAGCATTTGTTCTCAAACTATGAGGTTCTGTAAGAACTAAGGACATACAGTTGTAGGGTTACTCCTCCATTATCTGCAAACTATTTCCCCGACACTAACACATATAACTTAGCAATGAAAACACTTGATACAAGTGATCTATATGCAGGAGCTCCGGCAAGTTAAACCAACAAAACCATAGCTGCCGTAAAACTGTAGCTATTTCCCTACCAGAGGTAGGTTTAAAGACCCACTGATTTAACAGTCGAATCTCATGTCTATAGCTTCATCCAAACTTTTATCATCATGTGTACTGGCAGCTAAAAACGTTGTTACTGGGGACCCTGTGACATTAATTACACTGGTGCTGGTACTAGCATTGCGCACAGCAATGCTAGTCACATTAATGCCCAAAGTGAGCCTGGTCTGCTCCAAGGCCTTTTCTGGCACAGCAAATGCCTCCAGCTTCTTCTCCCCATTGGCCATATAGGAGTTTTGGCAGCCACGACATATACAATCTAAGCAGGCTTTGCGGTTAGAGTAGCAAGGGCAACGTTGGCCGCGGCATGTAAGAACACTTGGATTTTGAGTAGCACGCCCACATTTACACCCTTTCTTTTCCTGGGGTTTTTTGTATACAGTCTTGGTAGGACTTCCTGGCATAAAATGATGACTAGGGATTTTTTCCTTTACTGTTTTGTCCTTTTTAAGAATACCTGGCTTGGTTTTAGAGTGAGATTTCTTGGATCCATGTTCATGACTCTTTTTCATGCTTTTAGTAGATAAAAGTACAGTTTTGCTGATTTTGGGCGTTGTGCCTCCATTGGGAACAGTTGCTATAGGTTGAAGAGAAATTTTGCTTTCCCGTTTCACTGTCACAGGAGCAGATGCCCCCAATGTTGGGCCTCGGATAATGGTAGATATCGGAAGTGGCTGAACTTTCTCACTGTCACTTTCTGATCTGGATCGTTTTCTATTCAATTTTGCTACCTTCGGAGTTGCTGCTGTACATGATAACCCATGAAGTGCAGGAGTGGTGGACATAAAAACATTATGGCTAAGAGATTGGGAAGAAAGTTGCAGAAAAGGTCCATTGGATACAGTGGCTTCCAAGTTGGGCTGCAAATTAGGGCAACAAACCTCTGTATTTGAAACAGTTTCTAAGCTGCGGAGGACTTCCTCAACACTCAGTAACAGAGAATCACCGGGTTTTATATCTTCACTGAAACTGCAGATATCGATGCCTGTAGAACATAAGTCAGTGGCGACCGTGTCACAGACAGGTGGCAGGCTGTCAGAGAGATCCTCAGTTTTTATGTCAACAGTGTTACATACATCAATCGTATTTGAATGTTCAGGTGAAGGAATATTTATACCAAATCTATCTATTGAAAGCCCATTATAAGTAGGCAAACCATTGATAACAGAACTGCCTATAGCAATGCTAAGGGTGCTTTCAGATATTGGAGACAAACTAGTCTGAGGATCAGCTGTGGGTTCTGAGGTCGAAGGTAAAGGGGAATGTGTCAAACACAAAGTAAAGGATGAATCTGGGGGTTTTTCTGTTTCCTCACAAAACAATGATCCATCATTAAGCAAAGCCAAAATATCAGAAGAACAGTCGACGGCTTCTATTATATCCCGTGCCAATGTAGTCTGTGTTATATATTCACATAGTTTTTTGTAGCAGTTCACTAGGATGCTTAACTGCTTGTTTTCCTCAAATTGCTCATAGTCCTTGCACCAGCTACAGGAAGGTTTCATCATCATTTTCTTGCCTTTACAAGTTTTGCAGACATAGTGTTGACAGGTGGAGTTGGTAGGTGCAATAGGATCTTGCAGCAAATGTCCTATGAGGGAAAAAGGAGGAAAGCAAAGATTTTAGTAAAATAAATTATAATTTCATATACTGACGTTAAAATTAGAGTTATCAGTAATTTATTCAAATTGAGATGGGTTAAATTTGCCAAACCAGGTAAACAAAATATCATTTTTACAGGAAATAAATAGAAAAATTCTCATGACACAGTCCCCCCTTCCTTTATGTCAAACCAGAATCTTCCTCAATTCAGTGTTTTCCTCCCAAATAGTATGTTCGTATTATTATTTTCTCCTTAAAGCTGAAAGAAACCATTATCAGTCACCAAAAGCACAAAGTAGGTTTAAAAACCTTGGAACCTCAACCTAAACATAACATGTAATTCTACAACATAATGAGCAAAATCATGCTGATTGTTTATTTTGTGCCTAATCACTGAGAAAAACGATGAGCTTTAAAAAAGACTCAGTGCCTGGCCTCACTAAGGCATTAAATTAAAGGCAATATCCAATCAGCACATGGCATCTTCACAAGGGAAAAAAATTTTTCTGACCATTTTCTTGTATATGCTAATCATAAACTAAAGGAACAGAAAATCAAAATGTATTTATGATGAAAAAACTATGTTCATTTACTAAAACTCAGTACTACTAAAACTCTTCAACTACAGAAAATCAAAATACAGTAACAATGGAGAATTATGTTTAAATATAGCAAAACAAAAAAGTAAGGCATAATACTGGGCTCAGATTCTTGGACACAGTACAAAATGACAATGGTCATAAACCACAAGTGTAAAAGTGAAAGAGGTCCTCCAGTTTGATATAACTTCCAAATTATAAATAACCTACACATGTGAAGCAGAAAAGGGAGAGCAACTATATCAGTCCCCATATCCACCCTTACTCCCCAAAAACGCAACTGCACCTTCGTTCCCAATTCAACACAAATGGTTAGTAATTAGCGCAAATAAACCCTGTTTTCTTGTACACATTACACAATTTATGACTCAGGAGTGGAAAACAACATACTTCTGGCTTTATCAAGTAAAATCAGCAAGCCCTCTCCCTTAAAATCAACTTACAACTGGAAATTTTGGATCGAAGAAGTCATTTTCATGACCAAAGACATAAAACCCTCTGAGAAGCACTTGAAAAACTGCTAAATTTCAGGGCCTCCCTGGTGGCGCAGCAGTTGAGCGCTGGGTTGCGAAGCTGCCCACAGCCTCTGCGGTGCCGGTTTGATCCCGGGCTGCTCCCCGGCCACCAGCGCGCAGACCTCTCCTGCCGCCCGCTGCTCCCCTCAGCAGTGTACTTCGGTCCTTCTGCCTGCTCTGCTCCCTGCTCTGGCGAATTCTCTCACCCTCCCGCGCTTCTGACTGTACCCAGTGCATGTATTAACAAAAACAAACAAACAAACAAGCAAATAAATAAATAAAACATGCCTCTTAAAAAAAAAGAAAAAGAAAAAGAAAAACTGCTAAATTTCAAATAAGAACACTGAGAATCTGTATTATTCTGGTCTGTGACTGCACAGTGCTCCCATGCCTTCCAGATCCATCAATGTTACCTTTGGTGGAAGCTGATATGGTCAAAGAGTGTTCCACTTATTGTGGTAAATGATGCACAGACCTAGAGACATTATCACTGGAAATAACTTCTCAGATTGGCCAGCAGGAGAGGGCAACAGCTCAGTTCTCACTAGCCTGAGGTTACACAAACCCAGGTTAGACACAGAGGCCTCAAAATATCCATACACTTCTGGCCTTGAGGCTTTGAGCATGCACATAAGAAATCAACAGAAAATAAATCCAGGACTGACCTGAAAGTCTGAAATGTACTGCCCTCTCCTACCTATAAAGACATGCACTGACAGACATCTAAAGCCTGTTACTAGCTCAAAGTGTTTGAGGACAACCTCTGACCAATCAATGGAATCAAATGCCTTCAATTCAAAGACAAGAATTTAAAATGAAAGGGTAGAAAAGGCATACCATGTAAACAGTAACCATAAAAAAAATGGTATGGGGCTTCCCCTGGTGGCGCAGCGGTTGAGCGCTGGACTGCGAGGCTGCCCGCAGCCTCTGCAGCGCAGGTTCGTTCCCCAGCCAATGGCGAGGGTCCCACAAAAAAAAAAAAAAAAGAAAGAAAGAAAGATGGTATGACTACATTAATATCAAGAAAAACAGATTTTTTTAAAAGATTTTTTATTTACTTATGCATACAAGAACTGGGGTACTGGTCAGAGGTGTGGGGGTGGTGGTGAGAGGATTCACCAGAGATAGAGTGGGGAACAGAACAGGCAGACTGAAACACACTGCTGAGGGGAGCAGCAGGAGACACAGTCTTCTTCGCCATGTGGGTCACCTCCCTCGCTAGGGATCGAACTCATACTGCAGTGGCTGTGGATAGCTTCATAGTGCTGCGTCTTAATAACCCCTCGTCTTAACCCCTCAGGCCACCAGGGAGGCCCCAGCTAAATAGATTTTAGACAAGAACAATTATTAGAGACAAAGTAACCATTTCATAATGGTGAAAACAATACTATATCAAGAGAGTGTAACAAGTCTACAAAACACATGAAGCAAAAAGAGTAAAAAGAGAAAAAGATAATTCAACAATGCAGATGGAAATTTCAATACCCAACTCTCAATAACTAACAAAAACCATAAGTTAACAAAACTATAACACATTTGAACAAAACCACCAAGCAACTCAAACCTGAAACGACAGAGCAACCCTAGCCCAATTACTGCAGAACACACATCTTTTTATAGTTCAAGAAAGACAATATTTGCCAAGAAAGACAATATATATCTTCTAGGACAATAAGTCTTGACAAATTTATAAGAATTTAAATGATACAAAGAATATCCCCACCCACAACAGAAATTAGAAATCAGAAAAAAATACTCATTTTTAAAATTACACATAAACCTGCACATCTTATAAGTCAAATCACATGAGAAATTAGGAAACATTTACTGAATGATATTTAAAACACAATATACAAAAATTTAGAAGATTCAGCAGGGAAGTGACCCATATGGCACAGCAGACCTCTCCTGACTCACCTGCTGCCCCCCTCAGCAGTGTTTTTCAGTCACTCCACCTGTTCTGTTCCCCACTCTGTCTCTGGTGAATCCGCTCACCCCCCATCTCTGGCCTGCACCCCAGTTCTTGTATGTATAAATAAATCTTTAAAAAAAAAAAAAAGGTACAAAGTCAATAATCTAATCTTTCACTTTAATAGAAAAAAGAGCAAGGTAAGTAGAAAAAGGAAGATTAGAGCAGAGTAAGAGAATACAAAAAAACCAAAGATTAAAAAAATTCATTGTTTAAAAAGATCACAAAGTATGACAAACTAGCTAGAATAATCAAGAAAAAGGAGAGAAGATACAAAATCTAAAAATTGGTAATGATGTTCTGGTATCACTAGTATCCTATAAAAAACAAAGGATTAACCAAATACCATAAATAACTCTATGCAAATAACTCAGATGAAATATGCAAGTTTCAAGAAAGACACAAATGACCAAAAATGACATACTTTAAAACCTGAATGCATCTGAAACAAGAAATTAGTAACTAAAAAAATTTTCCTCGTAAGAAGGCTCCAGGACAAAATGACTTCATTGGTAAGATCTAACATTAAAAAGAAGCAATACTCAAAAAAAAGAAAAAACTTGCCAACGCATGTTGGGAAGATCAGCAATGTTGCTGATAACAAAGCCAGACATAAAGAAAAAACAAACCAAAATCCTATAAATACAAACTCAAAACTCCATTAAAAATAAAATGTAGTGGGCCTCCCCGGTGGCGCAGCGGTTGAGCGCTGGGTTGCGAAGCTGCCCGCGGCCTCTGCGGGGACGATTTGATCCCCGGCTGCTCCCCGGCCACCGGAGGAGGGTCCCACATGGAGCGCAGACCTCTCCTGCCGCCCGCTGCTCCCCTCAGCAGTGTACCTCGGTCCTTCTGCCTGCTCTGCTCCCTGCTCTGGCTCTGGTGAATTCTCTCACCCTCCCGCGCTTCTGACTGTATCCAGTGTATGTGTAAACAAAAAACAAACAAATAAATAAATAATTAAAAATTAAAAAAAAAATAAAATGTAGCAACATATAATCCCAACATTCTCTCACAATTTAAAAAAAAAAAATTTACGTTTCACAACAAACTAAAATGGAAGGGAATTTTTTTTTTCAAGATTTATTTATTCATGCATACAAGAACCGAAGTGCAGGCCAGATGTGCGGGAGGGTGAGAGGATTCACCAGAGACAGTGGGGAACAGAACAGGCAGACTGACTGAAACACACTGCTGAGGGGAGCAGCTGAAGACAGGAGAGGTCGGCCGAGTCATGTGGGAATCTCACCGGCCGGCCGGGATCACAGCACTGTGCTCAATCACTTGTGCCACCAAGGGAGGCCTGTAAGGGAACTTTTTTTTAATTAAAGATTTTATTTATTTTTGCGTAGAAGAACTGGGGTATAGGCCAGAAGTGTGGGGGGTGAGAGGATTCACCAGAAACAGAGTGGGGAGCAGAGCAGGTAGATTTACTAATAAACCCCTCTAAGGGAAGTAGCTGGCTAGATAAGAGGTCTGCTGTGCCATGCAGGGGATCAAAATCAGGCCATAGCAGTGATAGAACTCTTAACCCCTAGGCCACCAGGGAGGCCCAAAAATGGAAGAGAACTTAAATGGCAGGCATCTGTGAAAAACCTACAGTCAACATGACATCAAATGCACAATCCACAAAAGGGAAAAACAAATAATGGTGAAACACTGAGTACTTTTCCCACAAATATCAGTAACAAGGAAAAGATGCTTGCTTCTGCAACATTATACCTGAAGCTTCTATCTAGTGCAATAAGGTTAAAAAAAATTTAATCTACCCTGAAAAGAAGTAAAACTTTTAATTAGAGTATACAATTTTTGTGTACAGAAAATCCCAAGGTATCTACACACAAAAACTACTAGAATAAACAAACAAATTTAGCAAGGTTGCAGAAACAAACTACACTAAATAATCAAT